GACATAATACAGAAAGAAGAGATGGTACTCAGCAGAGAACATGAGCACAGAGTTGTAGCGGAGATAATTTGGCAGGCGAGACTGCTGTAGTTGTTTCATTGTTCCGAAACCCGAAATTCCGGTACTCGGGTCAATACCCCGGAGACCCTCGGAACCTGCTGNTTTTCTTGGAACATCGGCTACTTGCCTAATCGAGGGGTCGTGTCGAGGAAAACTGTTACAACGTAGTCAGGCACAGTTTACCATAGGTGCGACTGCGGCAACTAGCCTTCCGTAGACATAATACAGAAAGAAGAGATGGTCCTTAGCAGAGAACATGAGCACAGAGTTGTAGCGGAGATAATTTGGCAGGCGAGACTGCTGTAGTTGTTTCATTGTTCCGAAACCCGAAATTCCGGTACTCGGGTCAATACCCCGGAGACCCTCGGAACCTGCTGTGTTTGCTGCTTGTTTTTTGTTTCTGTTGTTGAGCTGAGACACAAGCGCGCCTTCGCCCCTTGTGCTCTCTCTCATCTAGCACCCATCAAAGCCTGACCAGGGAGTCAGTCGATGCGAACATCTATTTTATCTACATATCTCTTCCCGAAGCTCGCTCGGGCCTACCGCTCTCACAGCAGTGTAACCTCTGTGATAGACTACGAAGTCTACGAGCTACAGCAGCACCGTCACCTCCGCTGCTGCAGAACGCCATATCTTGTGACATTCGAGAAAAGAGCCCTCGGAAAGCGATCAAAATCAAACAAAAACACAAGTAAAGGAGGACGCTTCCCACACCCGCCTAAAGAAAAAATCAAAGAGTAACGTACCAGCACCAGGCACTACGTACGAGGGCAAGGGAGCAACGGAGCAAACAGGACAAAGAGGCGGCAGATGAGCAGACAGAACAACATATTCGCCTGATTGAGAGCGTAGCATCTGATTGAGAGCGAGATTGCGCGGTACGCTGTAGCCGGAAAACCACTGAGAGGTGGAGCTTGCTGTGTAGCTTGAATTGAAGGGCTAGCCCGTAGCTTCAAGCCGCTACCCTGGTCATCCTGTGGGAGTCTCTCGTTGTGGAGCTACAGCGGGGAGCAGAAGCTACAGCAGAGCCCACCGCCCGACGCGATACCGCCCTGAAACAGTTTGANAATCAGGCGAATATGTTGTTACAGCCAGATGTACAAAAAACAAAAGCAATAGGAAAAGCGAGATCAAGGTACCCAACGCAGCAGAGTATGTTAGGATGATCCGAACTGGGGGTAGCTTGTCGCAAGACGTGTGTTGAATAGGGTGTCGGCAACTCGGCGAACTCGCGCCAAGGAGGAAAGACATGTAGGGTTTGTTGCATAAACTTCTCCTTCACATGAACTCACATGAACTCACACGAACTGAACGCACACGCGTACACGCACCACCAAGGGGGCTCACGGAGAGCACTCAGGGATGCACTGCCCCAAACCTGGATTTTGGCAAAATT